ATGCTTTTTGAACATATTTTCCACAAAACTAAGTCTCTTTTGCTTTCTGTTTGATCTATAATATGCTTCTCAGTTTCTTTAATACATTTCATTTAGAAAGCAAACAATCATAATACAAAACTTGCGTTTTCCAGCTTAATATTAATTTACTTCTAATTTCTTATGTACCAATTTTTTCAGTGTTGGTTTTGAAGAAACATTGAAAAAGAAATTATAAAAATATGGAAACAAAATATAATTTTGAAATGTTAGTTATGACAAGTTTTAAGTAAAAAAATTAAATTAATTAAATTAATGATTCGGCCAGTTGCCGTTTAGCAGGCGGCTGTAAATCAACATCACTGCTCTCTCTAATATCCTGGTCATCGTCATCATCATCAGAAAGGTCGATAATTTCGTCCAACAGATATTCTGGAATTTCATCTTTGTCTTCCCCTTCTTCCTCTTTTTCCTCGTCTTCCTCTTCTTCAAAGTTATTTTTATACCACCAACAAATTTCAGCGAGTATTGCATCTGGAGATTTCTTTCCTCTGTACCTGAAACGAAAATACTTTTCAATCGTTAACATGTTTAAATTGTGCACTCTGACAAAGATATTCGAAAAATCTAGGAATTCAAAATATGCACACTCTATAGGTACCTTATTTCAAATGGAAGCGCAGTTTGGTGATAACGTTCGCCTTGCTCATCAGATTCAATTGGCAACTGTTGAGCGAGTTGATCAAGATGCTGATGCAAGAGATGAATTTTGTACGACATATTAACCCCAATTTCATCGAAAGCTGCCAACATGTTTGCAACAGATTGCCTGTAGTTGTCTTTGTTTTCTTTACCCAAAAGTCCTTTAATGACTGCTTTCAATGCGACCAATGCATTTAATTCTCGGTCTATCAGAATTTGGTCAAAATCTTGACGACTCATTAGTTTTCGTATGTCGGGACCATTAACAACCCCTTCCTGAATTTTGGCGTTACTTAGTCTTGGGAAAATTTCTTTTAAGCGGTTGAATACTGCTGGTCTTTTTGCGATACATTTCAAAAAATTTTTAATTTAATTTATTTAATTTTTTTACTTAAAACTTTTCATAACTAACATTTCAAAATTATATTTGTTTCCATATTTGATATAATTTCTTTTTCAATGTTTCTTCAAAACCAACAGTGAAAAAATTGGCACATAAGAAATGAGAAGTAAATTAATATTAAGCTGGAAAACGCAAGTTTTGTATTATGATTGTTTTCTTTTCAAATAAAATTTATTGAAGAAACTGAGAAGCATATTATAGATCAAACAGAAAGCGAAAGAGACTTAGTTTTGTGGAAAATATGTTCAAAAAGCATCCAAAAAAAAAAAATTCCAACATTTTGCTTCACTACCAAAATTTTCTAAATCAATTTTTTTTTTAATTTTAATTGTTGCACAGGTCTCTAGCAATAATTAGCAAAATATCAATTAGTCGACGAGTTATAGCCAAAAAACCATATAAACAATATGCTGAAAATCGGCATTTGACTGCAAAGTTCGAAGGTCGATTAAAAAAAAATAATCGAACTAACATAAACAAACGCCGCGATGCGTGTCTTCTAATTTAGCCTCTATTTTCACCCCTCACTCTCAGAATCGACCTAACTTTTGCTAACCTGAATTTGTTCCACAGTGTAAATCAACAAAT